AGCCTCATAGAAGTGGGTCTTAGTTGCCCAATCCCCAACATTTTGAAAACGGAGTAGGGCATCAAGTTGATACTCACCCTTAGATCACAAAGAGCTTTGGCAAAGTCAGCGCTTCTAATGGTGCAAGGGATTGTGAAAGCGTCACGATCTTCTAATTTCGGAGCCATTGAGTGCACAATTGCACTCACTTGATGTGTCATCTTTATAGTCTCATAATTCATCGACCTTTTCTTTATCACCAAATCCTTCATGAACTTTGCATATCCAGACATTTGCTCCAAAGCCTCAACTAATGGCACATTAATAGATAAGCTATTCATCATGTCAATGAACTTTTTGAATTGGTTCTCACCATTTTGCTTGGCAAGACTTTCAGGGTATGGAGGAGGAGGCCCTGGTATTGGTGCCCTGGCATTGGTGCCTTAGCCTTCGGCACTACCGGTTCCGGTATGTGAACAATGTGTTCCCTAGACGGGTTCACTTCTTCTTGATTCTCCTCCACATTTTCATCAATATCAATTCTCACTTCGTCATTTGCTTGCAACACATTGTTTGAAATCTCATCTTCTTGAATTACTTGTTCATCATCTACAATTCTTCTTTGATTTGAGGTGGTTGCATCCCCGCCTTTTCCACTCCTTGTGGTCATGGCCATGGCATGTCCCGTGTTGTTCCTATTCTTCGGGTTCACCACCATGTCTTTTGTAGTGCCCCCTTAGGATGAGTGTTCAAAGCTTGCGAGATTTTCCCCAATTAAACTTCCAAATTGCGGATTGAAGTGTTGTGAGAGGCTAGTTGAGTGTCGGAGTCGGCATTCTTCTCCATCATTTGTTTGAACATGTTCTCAATTCACCCCATTTCATTGTTGGAAGAGCTAGGACCATGGGAAGTATAATGAGGCGGGTTGCTTGGTTGTTGATACATCAGGGGCCTTTGAAAGCCCGATCCCTGATTCCCTAGGTTATTGTTCCAAGCCCCTTGGTTATTGCCTCCCCAATACCCTTGATTGTTGCCACTCCAATTGCCTTGGTTGTTTTGATTGTTCCAATTACCTTGGTTGTTATGATTGTTCCAATTACCTTGGTTGTTACCACCACTCCAATTACTTTGGTTGTTTGAGTTCCAATTCCCTTGATTTCCTTGAGATCTCCATGGTTGTTGATTCGGGCCTTGTGATTTGTTTCTTTGCCCTTGGAAGTTGTTCACATATTTCACTTCCTCCTCTTGTTCATTGTAGGATTCATCTTGGTTAAACTCACTATCTTCTTGCACATATTGTTCCACATGGTTTTGCACTGGTTGACCCATTTGCCTTCGCTTGTTCACCATCATATTTATACCTTCCATTGCATTTACTTGCTTAGGACCTTGAACTTGCTGAAGTTGAGCTTTGTCTAATTGATTCATTGTGGTGGTCAACCCGGCAATTGCTTGCCCATGATCATGCAATTCTTTATGTAGGTGAATCACATTTGGATCACCTTGAGGAACATTTGCTCTACTTTGCCATGCCGATGAAGTATCTGTCATTTCATCTAAGATCTTACAAACTTCGGCATATGGTGTTGTCATGCAATTTCCACCGGCAAGTTGGTTGACCATGTATTGATTGGTAATATTGATCCCCCTATAGAAAATTTGTTAAATCATAGTCTCCGTCATGTCATTGTTTGGGCACTCTTTCACCATAGTACGTCACCTTTCCCATATCTCATGCAAAGGCTCATTGGTTTCTTTCTTGAATGGTAGAATCTTGTCTTGAAGAGTAGCCATATGCCCGGGAGAAAAGAACTTAGCAATGAATTTCTCCGCCAATTCATCCCATGTACGGATATAATGGTTTGGCAATCTTTCTAACCAATCCAAGGCTTTCCCCCGTAAGAGAGAAGGGAAATAACCTCAACCTTAAAGCATCCTCGAAGACGTTGGTCTGTTTACTCCCCCAGCAAGTGTCCACAAGCCCCTTCAAGTGTTTATATGTATTTTGACTCGTATTCCCAGTGAAGAATCCCCATTGCTCTAACAATGTGAGCATAATATTAGTGATTTGGAAGTTTCCCGCCCTAATGCGGGACGGGACTATGGCACTTGCATATCCTTCGTTTGGCAACACCCGGTCTGGAGCCACTCTTANGTTTCCGAGAGGATCATTGTTGTTGAGAGCAATTTTTGTACCTACAATTGTTTCACCAAAAAGATTAGTAACGCGGAAGGAAAGGAAGACAAATCACACACAAAACCAAATATATAGCAAAATTCGTTTTTAGCTCCCCAGCAACGGCGCCAAAAATTGATCTTGCCCAAAATCACACCTCAGTTTGGGGTTGTGAAGCGGTCGATTGAAATTATAATTACCCAACTGGGAGTCGAGATCGATTCCACAGGGAGCGTAGATGGGATTAGGTATATACTCGGACTAAGCATGTAAAGTATCTAAGATGCACTTCAACAAACTTTGTTTTAAGTCTACTTCTAAATTATGCTACGGTTTGCAAATGTAAAGCTAGAGAATAATATTTTTTGTATTGATTTTTCAAATATGTAAAAGATCTGGGGTTGTGACTTTCACCTAGATTTTTTACTAATGGGTTGTGGACTTTAGAGCGGGTTTTGCTGGTCGGGGTATACTATAACAATCAACACATAATTACTCACTCAATACCTCTCGGTAATAGAGTAATTTTGCCCAATTTGGCTTTCTCAAGTCCAAATGGGTAATGCACCAAAACAGTTGATAGATGCTCAACTCGGGTTCTACTATCTCTAGATTCAACCCTTTAATTGGGACTATCAATTTCTTGAGTTCATCCCAATTTCTTGTTAGCCAAGTTGTCCTAAACTAAGTCTCTCTTTCTCAAGTAGAGACTAAATCAAATAGGCTTGAATCAATGTTTCCAACCATTAATTCTACAAATATAGCAAGAACTAGGCTAAATATAATACATCCAACCATAAACAAGCCCTAAATTAAACACCCATTAGGTACCCACACTAAGGTTGGGTCACAAGCCTAGCTAGAAATTTAACTACTCATAGTGGGTAATGAAAAAAATAAAGGAGAAAAGATGATTAAACTTATATTAAATGATAAAGAGAAGAGAATCCAATATAAAATTGACGAGGTATCATAAAATTTCCCAAAACAGTAAAGAAAAACAGCTACCAACTTTTAGATATTCAAAACTTAACCTAATTTCGTCAAAAAAGACTATTTATACACAGCTGAAATTTTCAAACAAGATTGTCCTTTCGGAGGTTCTGCGGCCGCACAATTCTGTGTGCGGTCCGCACTTTGCTGCAGCTCTTGACAGGATTGGCTTCTGCGGCGGCACAATTTTGAACTGCGACCGCACTTCTTGAGTTCTGCGGACCGCACTATTCTGAGTGCGGCCACACTTTTGATTTCTGCGACCGCACAATTATAGTGAGGTACGCACTTCTTGCTGATCTCAGATGTGGAACTCTCTCATCTTTGTCTTCTACGACCGTACAATTATTGTGCGGTCCGCACTTTTCAAAGCAGCTCTGTCAAGATTTCTTTATGATCTGTTGCTGCAGACAAAATTCTGCGGTCCGCATTTTAGCCTTTTTGCTTGACTTTTGTCCTTGTTCAAAAACACTCTTTCTTGAGTTGAATTTCATCACTTTAGCTCATTTTCCAATACTCCTACAAGTAAGTATATTTTATTAATTTTCGGGAATACCTTTAAACATTTTTTATCTAAAACAAAAGTAAAAAAGGCGCAAATAAGTAGTCAAAATCCTCACTTATCAGAGATCGAGCAAGAAAGAGATCGAACGAGACTGAGGGAAACTTACCGAGCCAAATAACGGAAATCTGAAATATCCGTAATCAGGCGAGGATCACGGCGGAAATCCCGACACGTATCAAAAAGAGGCCGATTAATTAGCATATCATGAGATTCCTTACTGTATTTAGAATTGTATCAAAAGTAGGACTCCCCTACTATATAAAGGGGGTCTGATCATTTGTAAGACACATCGCATTTACGCAATACAAAGCAATACACTGCCTTCTTCTAGCTTTCAATATCTTGTTACTTTATTCTTATATCAGTTGAATCTTCACTTGGTTCAAGGGTGATCGAACTCGAGGGCCAAGGCTATTCGATTCGTTTGGTTTGTATTTATTTCTTTTACAGTCAATTTCAATATTAATATATATATATATATATATATATATATATATATTCTCAATTTGTGCTAAGTTAAATCATGTATCCTTAAAACTATGTATAAACTCAATTGCTATCCGTTTTTTCGGGTAAACATAAATCTCAACCTCTTTATATATAATATGTTTCACAGTAACAAGTTTCACATGATCACTAGAACTCGACTAATCAGCAATATTCAATATGAAGACTAATGAATCACCGATTATTCTAGTCTCGTCTTCTTCCTTGTTTTCTCTCCACGCTTCAACTTTGGTGACTTTTCATTTGAAGTGCCTATCACTAAAAGTGAAGAGAGTTCATGTTCAAGCTCAAGATAAAATTGGCAGCTCTTTTCGTCCGATAATGCATTATAGAAGACTCTTAGAATATTGTCCTTGGTGGTGCTGGCCACCAGACACCAGTACTGCACTGTAAATCTACTACTGTTGAAAAGCCTTAGTTTGAGATAGTTATGTAGCTTGATTACATGTTTTCTGTGCTTGTTTAATCTAATGGGAACCTCTAATTGATAAATCAATTGTTCTCTTAGTGTCGCAAATCTTTTATAAAAGTGATTGGCTTCTCCCATTTCTCAAGTTGATTCATATAACAGGTTTAAATCCCATTGAATTATAAATATACCCGAAATATATCTATATAAACGAGATCAACTTATTCATCTAAAGAGATTAACTTATCCATGTCATATATGAAACGGTATACAATCTGATATACTATGGATTTTAGTGGTCAAAATCTGTTTGGGCCAGGTATAACTTATGGTTGAAAATGGGTGAATTTTGGTTTTGATGGTTAACAAACATGGCAGATATATTAGGTTGGTCGAAAGATGTGGTGAAGGATCTGCTCATGCTAGGTTGGTCTTGTATTTGCGTGAGATACTGATTCGGTCGGAATTTTCAAAAATAATATTTGTTATATTTTTTTAATTCTTTCGACTATTTTTCCGACAACATTGGTCGCAATGTTTGGCACAAAAATTCGGGATAAAAAATTACGACGGATTCGGTCGGAAACTAAAAGTCAAACAATTTTATTTGACCATTTGCGTCCGTTTCGGTCGCAATTTTTTTAAACTTTGGTCAAATTATTTTTTTAAAGTTGCGATTGAAACGGTCGCTAATTTTGCGACGGAATCAGTCGCAGATTCTTTTTAATACCCCAGCCTCGCCCCCATCTCTATCTTCTTCTCTTTTCTTTCTTTCTTCTCTTCTTCCTCCATTGAAAGCCCCAGACCCCCAGCCCGCTGCTTGCCGAAAAAGGTACGTGACTTCTTCCCTCTTCTTCCCCAACCCTCCTTTTTGTTAAACCCATCCCCTATATCCACCCCTTCCCTCACACTTTCATTTTATCCACCCCCATCCCCACCCCTTCATCTTGTTCTTAAGAATGGCATAAGCTTTTAGTAAATTAATCACGGCTGAAACTTAGTTTCTTTCAGAATACTTCAGGAAGATTCAGGATGCTGAAATTCCTTTAAAAAAGTGCATAGAGAGGGAACATATGATTCGTAAATAAAGCTGATGGTTGGTCAATAAGACCCTAAGACATATAGAGAGTCATGTTTCTTTAGTCAGAGACATTTCCAAATGATTGAATTTAGTATAGATGTGAACACATGATTTTGTTGATTAAATGGATTTGAATATACACTTCCATTCTTTTCCTGCTCTATGGCACATTGAAAAAAAATTCAGTTGTATCTAATGGCCTCGTGAGAAATAGCATCACCAGTACTAGATACTCCCTAAGTTTCAATTTATGTGTCCTGGTATTTTGTCTTTGTTACATAAAAGAATGCCATATTTTTATCCTTACTGATACTTTCTTATAAGAATGACGCGACATGTTTTATATGATTGAAAGGGTATTTTTGATGTGTTATACACACCTTTAGTTTAAGATCACAAAATTTAATTTTTTTTATATATATTTTAAACTTCACGTCTAGTCAAATTAACACATATATAGAGTATTAATGTTGGTTAGCTAAGATTTGACATGTTAAAGCTAAGATTCTTCGCCGTGGATATTTTTAAAAATGTCATCACATTGAATACCCTTTGTTCATAGAAATTCTTTGTTTCTGGCATATGGTATTCATTAAGTTTGAATCCATATAAGAGGCAATGTATTATAAGAAAGATTCCTACCGACAACACTTGTAATCTTGGAATTACAACTACAGAAGTAAAGTACCATGTGGTTGATTATTTTGTCCTTTTCTATACAAACATCCTGTTCTGACACTAGAAATGCTCTTCCAATTACCCAAGGCTCAAGCAACAAAATGTCTCTTTGAAAGATTTATTATGTATACTTTATATTTATATTTGTTATGTTAAATTTTTTTATATGTAAATATTTTATATTCATTACACAGATAAATTCTTGCGGTAAAAAAATAAAAAGATCTAAGAAGAAAAAACACACTTTACCTAAGTCAACTCAGCTTCCTCCACCTACATCAAATATGAGCCCTCCTCCTATGCCTCCCCGTCCTTCCATGCCAGCTTCATAGCCATCTGACTTTTTCAAAGTCCCTCCCCCGTCTAGCTCGCTTCAGTATTACTCCATGCCTTCTTATGGTGGCTCAGCTTTGACCACCATTAATTTTATACCCACGTCTCATTTTTCAGTTTCTTCCCCGTGTGATCCTGCTAGTCAGTTCGGTGGCTCCACCGATTGCATCCCCGAGCCATCATAGTAGCTAGCATTGTGGTTTATCTTTTGTGCCTCATACATCGTCCACTCAATTATAATCTTCATTATCATCCACTTCAAGTATATCTAACTTGGATATTGGAGGCTCTCACGCAGTTGCATCCCCATCTACCAGTTTTTCTACAGTTGTTGGTACCGTGAGACAGTGTACTGGAGGGATTGTACAATACGATCATCTTCATCGGCTGATTATCGTTCCCCATGGCGACGGGTGAGTTTTCCTTCAATTTCCTTTTAAAAACTTTCCTTCAATATCATATTGATCTTGATGCATAGCGACAAACTCAGTCTGAAGGAACTCAGTCGTCCCCGGAGGATATGATTGCAATTTGGACACAAACGGCTGGGGGCATGAATAAAGGTATAAATGTTATGTAATTATCTATTTTGGTATTAATTTGAAAGTTGCTTGTTTGTTTTCTTACTTCTTTTATTTTCTTTTCCTTATTTCTCATGAAAATAATAAATAAAGGTCGAGTCTACGGGATTGAAGTACAATCATCCTCCAGTCATCCACCAACAACATTATTCACTGGGGCATCAGTTTTCCAAGAAGACATAGAAGTTATGCATCAAAAAGTGGATCAAATGTCGCAAGAATTTCAAGCAACTCAGGCTTTGATCCAAAAATTGTTAAAAAAAAAAAGCAAGAAAGGAGCTGCAATGGAGTCTGAGTCTGAGGAGGAGACTGAAACTGAATAGGCTATTTGAATATTTTAGAGTTGAAGTTAGAGACATGTTTAATTTATGTTGTTTGATAGTTGGTTGTTTGATTAGTTGGTTATTTGATTAGTTGGTTGAATTGTTATAAATATTACTGTTCATTTTGTAGTAGATATTGGATTTTGGATTTTGGATTGTTATATTATATTTTTGGATTGTTATATTAAATTTTTGGTTAATTGTTAGGTGTTTGGTTGGCTGTTTTATTTGGCATGTGGTGTAATTAGAAATACAGCATGATTCTGCTTAAAAATGCCTAGATTTGCGACTAAATCAGACGCAAATTTTACCAGAAATTATCCAGATTTGCGACTAATTCAGTCGCAATTGAAAAATTCTAACAATATTTAATAAATATTTGCGACTGAATCAGTGGCAAATGGAGAATTTTTGATATTTTTAATTAATTAATAATCAATATTTACGATTGTTCCAATCAGAATAATTAATTAAAAAATAGTTTTATTTTTAATTTTTCGACGAAATCAATCGAAACTTTTTATTTATACTTATTTTTTTTTAACTCTGATCAGTGACTGAATCAGTCACTAAATTTGTGACTAATTCCATCGCAAATTGCTTAATTTCAAATGTCCCCGCATTTTTCAATTTGCGACTGAATCCGTCGCAATTTTTTGACGGATTCAGTCGCAAATATATTGCGACCACGTGTTTTCCGACTGACACTTTTCAGTCGCAAATCGGTCGAAAAAATACGATTTTCGACCGATTTGCGACTGATTCGACGATCGCAAATTTGCTGTTTTTTAGTAGAGGCAGCCGCCCAAATAATAGAGAATCTTGGCAAATCTTTATTGCTGACTTAGAGACCAAGTTTGTGAGGAAGAAGAATCATAATTGGAGTCTTTTTAAGGAAAGAAATATATTTTCCTTACTTCCTTTATTCTCTAAGGTTAGGAGATCTATAAGGGATATATTCTGCATGAAATTGGTGAAAATTAAATAGGTTTCTTGCTAGAGAAGAATTATAATTGGAGTAGGAAACAAATAGGAAAAACTATGTGGTCAACTAGTCATATATGGCAAGTTTTTTGTGAAGTAGATCTCTTATTATTTATTTCTATTTATAATTTGGACTCTTTATGCTACTAATGTGTTACCTATATGTAGTCCAAGTTTACTTCATTGTATGTATGTACTTCCATCATTTTTCAGAATAAATTGAGAGAAAAGTAAGAAAAAACGAGTTCAAAATTCTGAACTAGATATTGAAAGCTGGAATGTGCAGAAGAACCAGATTAGAGAACATGTTCCTTGATACAATGCCAAATTCATTGTCTCTAGTCTAGTTCATTGTATTAGGCTTATTGAGTTGTAATCTTATTTGCTTACACAAGAAGCATTTCGAGGGGTTTTTCTTTGTGAGAGAATTCAAGTCTTAGACTTGCGTTAGCTTGACCATTTTGCTACAATCAAAGTGGTTGTAGGCACTTAAGTGGCGAGGATTTAGTCTCTTAGGTTATAAGAATTTTGTAACCTGAAATTGCTCCTTGTTTTAGTGAAGTTTTTGTGAGAAATTTCAGAGATGGATCGTGATTTTTATTCCCTTGATCAATGAGGTTTTTCACGTAAAAATCTCAATAAGGGAGCCGATATAAAAATCAAGTTCTTATACAAATGTATATGTGGTGCACCAAACTAAACACTTATCAATCAGTTGCTTCGGGCATTTTGGTTTTATTTATGGGCTGATGTCGACCAAACATATATGCTTTCTATTGAGTTTGGGAATGGGAAAGCAAGAGCTGATTGATTTTCATGTGTAACGTATATTTCGGTACTGCATGTACTGCAAATAAACTGCCAATCATGTACTACTGCTGAAATATTCATTCATCAAGTAGAAACCAAAACAAATTAAGACCACAAATATTTTATTAGCATTCTTCAATATACACGGTAATTAAATAGCTATTGGCGGGGCCAAGAAGTTTATATAAGAGGATTCTAAAAACAATGCTACAGCTGAAATTTGAACTTGTTTTTTATGTCACAGGGATTCAATAGTCTATTTCGAGGGAATTGAATTGAACCCTTTACCCTATACCCAACTCCCTTGACTGTACATTAACCTTTAATATGTTCACATAGTGAAGCATCCTTTACTAAATTTTGTCACCAACTTTACTTCTGGTGCAGATTGAGTAGTAGTATAATCAACGGTTTCCCATCTCCGGCGAGTCACCGGCCTCGGTAAGTTCTCCGGCACGATGGTTTCTAAAGAGTTCCCGTTCCACGGCGGGCACGATCTTTTCTCGCTCCATTTCTGTGCTGGTTTTCCGGCAATAATTTGTAATTGCATATCCCCGGCGATAGCACTAATTTCTTGATTTACTAATATTGAGCTGTCTAATTCTAATCCAATTACTATACATGCCATCCCTAATACACATTGGCTTTTCCATGATCCTTCTTTTCGTTGCCTGCTTAAATTAAAAGAGACAGCTAAATTATGTTATTTTAAATAAATACCAAGGAAAAAGATACATGCTTTTATGGAATCAGAGAAATAAAATAGGGGAGTTCGTGTCAGACATAAGAAGATTTTTTTTGGGATGAATACAAATGAATGAACAGTTAAAGATGTTGACTATGTCTCACGTTATTCAGATGGCACAATAATGATTCTTGGTTTTCAATTACTAAAGAGATCTAAGTGTGAGTACAAAGATCGAGGACACTCGGTATAATTAGTTACAAGCCTATAATACTTTCGCACGATAATACTCCCTCCGTTTTAATTTATGTGAACATGTTTGACTGGACACGAAATTTAAGAAAAAATAAAGATTTTTAAAATTTGTGGTCCTAAACAAGTCAAAATAGGGTTTAGAGTATTTGTGTGGTTATAAAATCTTCTCATTTAGGGTAGAATTGAAAGTTTAAACTACATTGTTTCTAAATTAAGAATGAGATCATTCTTTTTGAAACTGACTAAAAAAAAATAAGTTCACATAAATTGAAACGGATGGAGCAATTATTGCTTTTGAGATAACATTGACATTCTTCCAAATTTGCATAGAAAGGTATGATTACATGTACCTTTCCATTTTATTTCAGTTGTGATGGTTGACTAGACATAAAGTTTATCAGAAAAATTAAAAAGATTTTTAACACATCTAAAATACTCTTAGAATGTCATAAACATGTCATGACATTTCAAAAGGTATAAGAACGTAAGTTGCATACATGACACCTCTTAGGATGGGTCCTTCGTCGAACCCTGTATAAATATAGAATGACTTATGTACCAAGCTGCTCTTTAATAAAAAGTTTAAAATATAAAGTGTCCTAATATAATGATAATATTTTTTTTTGCCATACGATACAGTACAATATATATATATATATATAAAAGGAGAAATAGTAAACTTACCAAGAAACTTGAGTAGTCTTTGAAGGTGGAGGAATAAAGTTAGAAGGTGGAGGTTGAGGGGAGAGATTGAGGCACAACTTTGTTGCAACGGCCATCTTCTACGGAAAAAAAATTGATCAAGAGAAGAAAGCAAAGAGTACTAGTTGTAGGTGCTTAGTTTTCTTTACGATCCCTTTTGGTAAGAGTAGTACGTACTAGCTTCATTAGATATTTATAATTTGTACTTTCTTTTTGTTGAATGAGGTTTGGTGGATCGGAGTCATTGGTCAGTTTACGGTAGCTGACCAAAACTCAGAAGGTGTCCTATTTCCTTTGTTATGGACACGTGGGTAGGACCCTTAATAATTTAGCAAATTCTATCGATCAATTTGAAATACTTTCTAGGAAGATACTTTAATAATAAGTTATTACTATATACCTCCCCTGAGGTTAGTCTAATTAAAAAATGTTTTTTGAAGTTTCAAAAATCATAAACTCTTTCTCTTTAATATATATATATATATACATACACTGATTGTTAGAAGAAGTTTGAACATGAGATTTGAACTTTCTCACGATACGAGAAGAAATTTCATTTAGAGAGTATTAACAGAAAATGTCTTTCTTTTTTAAAGGCTGAAGATTACAATGCAATGGTTTAAGCGAAGTCATTCTTATGGAGGTTTGCTCTTCGAACCATGTCTCAAACATACTGAAAAAATATTTACCTTTTGAATATTTATTTATTGCGGACTAATACCAAAAGGAAAATAAAAAAAGTACAAAAATTAGAAGGATAAAAGATATAATTTCATTACATTCATAATAACTAAATGTATTACTTCAATCAACGGAACAACGAACTAGGCAGAGTTTAGCACGAGTCGAATAGTTTATCTCTAATTAAGTATTTGTTAATGTCTATTATAAGGAAATTCGTTATGGTCCTAAACTCAGCTAATTTAAACTTTCGGATTGACTTTGTAACATTAGAAACTAGTGGGATGGTCTTCGTAGTTAGAAAAAAGGTTGAAGAGATTTGTGTAATTAGTCCAATTTTTCTGGCGAGTCAATTTGTAATGCTTCTTTCTATGCCTACTTCAAAGTTCAAACCAACAAAAATCTGAAAGCTACGGCTTTTAACATCTTCTCATACCAATTGCTTGCACGCATTACACAAGAGCTCAAATTTAGAGGGATCTCTCAACCAATTTTTTTATTTTGTATGGACAAATTTCATGTGTAGAAAATTAATACAATTGGAGCACGCATTACAGAAGAGCAAGAAGTTAAAGTGAGTACGTGATTAATGTCTTTTTTGAAAATGAAAAACAAAAAATGACATGAAAATATAATACAAGTTTATGGAATTATACAATGTATATCAATATCGTAAAAAGAAACTGTATTGAACTACTTCAAATGGTAAAGACAAATTTATTAAAACTATTTTATTTAGTGGCGATTTATTTCGGTTAACTTTGCTACGGAAATTAGATCATATGTGAAATTTTCAACATGTATTAAATTCTAAACTCATAATTGTCAAAGTGAAACGAGTTCAACTAGAACATAAATATTAAACTTATTAAATTTAAATCTAAATATATTATGATTAACACTAAATCTTCTTTTTTCTAACTATAAAAGTAAGGCTGGACAATAATTAATTGCAAGGGGCATCTATTATCAATATTATCACGTGCTTACGTCGTGAATGTGGCTCCAAATATTTGGGAGGGGTTTCCGTTGCGTAATTTGTTTTCCTTCCGAAGAAACTTCAAAGTTAGACTATCAATTTCGTTGTTGTACCTAAAATTCTAAACAACTTTCCTTTTGAGTTGTTAGGTGTTTGTGTTGGGCTAAAACGGTACAAAGATACTCTTAACATGATGTGATATTTTTCGCTTTGGATGAAGCCCGCACGATTTTTCCGATAAGGTCTCACACCATTAAGAATATCTAACTTCTTATAAGTAGTTTATTTTTCTTTTCTACTTTCCAGGTAGGACTTTGTTCACACGAACCCAACAATCTCCCCCTTGAACTGAGTTTCACATGACCCATCATCCTTTATGGGCTAATTTGGAGATTAACTGTGTGTCACCTACATAGTCTTGAGTTTCTATGCCATCACTTCGTCATCTCCATACTCGTCTCGCCAAACCATTGGCTCTGATACTAGTTAATGGGCTAAAACGACCCAAAGATACTCTTAACATGGTATGATATTGTCCCCTTTGGACCAAGTTTGCACGATTTTCCCCAAAAGGCCTCACACCATTGAAAGTATCCAATTTGTAGCTTATATTTTTTTTTACTTTCCATGTGGGACTTTGTTCACACACACATAAAACATCTTTGTTTACCCATAAAATAGTACAGTTGAATTTATACGTGGTTTCTAGACAAGTGAATTAATTTGATCTTGAAATAATAGAAGAATTAGATAAATATGCAATACTTAGCCTTGAGATGGAAATGAAATAGGAGAAATAATAGTTCCTGGAGCAGGGTATCCGGGCACAATAGCAATAAAATCAAAAAGTAACAAGATAAAGTTATATTAAGATTTGAATAGAGTGTAGCATATGTTTGTCAGAAAATTCGTGTCCTTTACAATGATAATAGAGCTCACTATTTATAATTGCACCTAGGGAACACGGTCCTGGGATCACGCCCTTCTTTAATGTCAATTATGAGGGCCATTGAAGAATGTGTAACGGCGGGCATGAATGACATATTCTTTATAACAGGCAGTATACTAAATATTGTAGAATATTATTCATTAAATGCTACCGGGTGGCAGTCATTTATTTCATCTTTATGAGTATCATTCTTTATGGTAACATACGGAATAATTGCATTCGGTTTTAGCTATCCTCTGCCTTCGGCTCCATTTGTCACTTCCTTATGTGATCATTTAATATAACATATTTTACATTATACAGATAGTCTCCCTACTTTCCGGTAGTATAACTTAATCATTTCTCTCTTTGTTGAATTCAGGTCTACCCCAGGGCTTGGTTGTCGTCCCCGAAGAGGACGTTTTGGCCGATCCTGCTGATGTAGCGAGGCTGCTACAGAAGGATTTTTCACAGACAGGCATCTCCGGGCCTGCTTCTGGTGCGAGTGCTTCTTCTCAGAGTCCCCGACCGAAGAACAAGCAACCAAAAAGAAAGCGTTTCTCCGCGGACGAGGGAAAGATTAATAGGGCGGAGAATGCTACCCCCGAGTCATCTCCAGACCGGGCCGGCCATAGATACTGTGATGATTGACGATGATGGAGAAACCAGCAAGGAGGGGGCTTCTCTACACACAAAACGATGACCTTCCTCAACTCAGCAAACTGCTCAATATGTTGAGTTAGTTACACCAACTGAGGACGATGCTTCGGCGCTCTGGGGGAGTTTGAGATGGTGGAAAATTCCAACTCCCATTTTCGGATCCCAGTTGTTGCGCCCGGTATTGTGGGACTGAGTATCGAATCCCTGCCTTCTTCGGTTGACGAGAAACCAACAACCAGCACTACGTTTGCCGCAACTGCTTCTCATCCTTCAACGCCATCAGCTTCATCTCCTTCTTCACTAACTCTTCCACCAGCAAATGTTACATCATCTCCACCGGCCGCATCTATTCGAGAAGAGGACGTTTTTCTCCCCCAGTCTCCAGTTCATGGGAATTTGGGGAAAATTTATGCTGCCTCCTCAGAAGATCCACAAAGGAGGAGGAGCGTTACTCTCTCGGTCTCTACCGGATGCAATTTGCTATCCCGACCGTTGGAACTTGCTAATTATCTGAGGCCTTTGGTTTTAGAAAAAAATTGGAAAAAGATACAAGCTATCTCGGGAGAGTGCATGTTGAACAATGTTATACACAACACCGCAGCGGTATACTCTTCACTTGCTTTGTCATTTCTTCTGTCTTTGATTTAGTAGTATTTTGAGTTTGCCTTTCTTGTTTCGCATGCCAATTTCCTTACTTCCGAGGGCCTCCAAAGGATGATTCGGGAAAAGGAGGAACTTACCTCTGAGCGGGATCAACTTTTGGCCAAGCAGGACCAAGCTGCTATTCACCTAGACTATCTAACTATCTCCTAGTGGTTTTCACTTGTGAACGGTCGGGTAACCTCTGTTTGTTAGCAAACTTAACTTCCCGATGGGAACTTTGCTACCGAGCAAAAGATTATCTAACCGCTCCGGAGTGGTTCTTCGCTTGTGTGCCTTGCTATTAAAAGGTCTTATCGCTATTGTTGAAACCTTCTTCGTGGTATATTTTTCGTTGCTGCCTCATTAAAAGCCTTGCCAGAAAAACCTAATTGGGACAAAATCCGGACGAAGGGGAAAAGAATGCAGCACATACTCTCAGTACAGGTGATGTTCATCAGCAATAGTATCTCTTGAGGTGTGCCACATTCCAGTTTCTTGGAAACTTTTCTCCATCTTGATTCTCCAACTCGTATAAACCTTTCCCGGTGATAGCTAAAACCCTGTAGGGGCTTCCTATGTTGGACCTAGCTTCCCTGCATTGAGTTCCCGGGTGTTTTGAGTTACTTTCCTTAGAACCAAGTCCCCTACTTTGAAATAACGGAGGTTGGCTCTTCGATTATAATATCTTTATATTCTCTACTTTTAAGTTGTCATACTTATATGCGCCAAGTCCCTGCGCTCATTGAGTAGCTCCAAATTGACTAGCATTGCTTCGTTGATTGCCTTTTCATTTGCCTGAAAATATCTCAAGGTAGGTTCCCCTACTTCCACAAGAATCAAGGCTTCTGCTCCGTACACAAGGGAGAAAGGAGTCTCTCTTGTGCTCGATTTGGCCGTTTTTCGGTATGCCTATAGTACTCCAGGTAGTTCCTCGGGCTATTTACCTTTAGCTGCTTCCAATCTCTTTTTGAGATTTTGTATAATCACTTTGTTCGTTGATTCCGCTTGACCGTTTGAGCTTAGATGATAGGGCGAACAGGTGATCCATTTGATTTTCAAGGACTTTGTGACCTTCACGCCTATAAACTGTGCCCCATTATCACAGACTATCTCTTTTGGTATTCCAAATCTGCAAATTATGTTTTCCTATAAGAAATCCACCACTTCAAGTTCGCCTATCTTCTGATAAGGACCTGTTTCAACCCACTTAGAAAAATATTCAGTTAAAATCAAAAGAAATCTTACCTTACCAGGGGCCGGCGATAGTGGTCCGGCGATATCCATTCCTCATTTCATGAACGACCATGGAGACAAAACTGAGTGCAATGGTTCTGACAGTTGATGTACTAGCGGTGCGTAGCGTTGACACTTATCATATTT